TACTGATACAACAATTGAACAAGGCAAAAGAAGATTATAAGCGGTTTGCAGATCGGTCCCGTCGAGATACACCTCCGTTAGTTGTGGGTGATAAAGTGTGGCTATCTACAAAACATCTGAAGGTCGATCGCCCTATTAGAAAACTTGATCATCGGTTTATTGGTCCGTTCCCGATTGAGGCAGTTATTAATCCCGTGGCATACCGCCTCACTTTGCCACGATCCATGCGTATTCACCCCGTCTTTCATCGATCTCTTTTGATTCCTGATTCTTCTGTTTGTCGATTACGTGATTCTGCTGAACCGGGTCCGTTATCATTGCCTTCTGAGGAGCCTGCTGTTGACGATACGGTGGTCGACGTCCTTGATTCCCGTTGGCTCAAAGGTCGCTTCCAGTATTTGGTCAGGAGGAGGGTAGATGACTCGGAGGTTTGTTCCTGGACGGATGCGTCTACACTTCATGCTTCGGATCTGCTTCGAGACTTTCATGCACGCTTCCCTTCGAAACCGCATCCGGATCGCCAGACCCGGGGGAAGGGCCCTGCGGTGAGGGATAGTGTTGTGATTCCGGCATCTGCTACAGGTTTTTTGAATGACAGCTCCAGCGAGGAGGACTTATATGAATCAGCAAGTTCTAACGATGAGGAGGAGATGAATGCATTTGATTTGCAAGATCGGCTTGAACCTTCAAACTCCTCCACCCTTCAATTAGGTGGTCAGCCGGGAACGGGTGATAATGAGGAACCAATGATATCTTCAGGTGAAGAAGATGATAATTTGGATGATTGCTGGGTAGATGTCAGGACAAGACGTCTCCTGACAAGGAGGAACCAACGAGGATACAGTAGGAGAGCAGACCAGCAATTAGACTAATTAGTTACTCTATAAAGGGAGAGATATGACTTTGCACTTTGTCCGGAACAAAGTGTCTATTTGCAAGGAGAACTGAAGAGCACAGTTTGGAGGATTTTGATCTGAAATATCTTATTGGAATTATTTTGATCTGAAGAATCTTGATCTGAAGGATTTTGATCTGAAGAATCTTGTTGAGTCTTGGATTTAGTTCGTTGG